ATATATCCATTATTTTCTTCCTTAATTTTGATTAATATCTTCCTATTCTTTATTTTTAATATTTTTGAAGCATAAGACTTACAGTATATATAGTATGTATGTAACCAATTTCCCCATCTCCATCATTTTTTCTCATCCTCTTTTTTCCCCCTCTTCATTTTCTTTCAAGAGGAAAATAATATTAACATTCCTAATATATCCAGTGGCATATTGATCTGATTTTGATATATTAAAAACTATACAATGTTACATACCCAAGTTTCAGATGTATGTTTCTTACTCTTTCTTTTTTTATCCGCAGTCCCGAGGAGATCACTTTTTGCTTTTAATTTGGATTAATCTGGATTAATTATTGGTGACAATATGGTTATTGTATATTTTGTTCTGAACTTGGGTAATTTCAAATGATATTCTTTCTTTTTTGTTCACAATCCTGAGGATATTTTTCTTCTAATTTTGATTAATCTGGATTAATTATTGTTTATGACAATATGTAGTCATATATTTTGTTCTGAACATGGAGATTTCAAGTAATATTAACTACAGTTTTATCCTAATTCAGATTTAACTATTAAATTCAGTGATGCTGAACTTGAATAAAAGTTTCTAAAATCTTTCTCCTTTTCCCAGTCTTGGCAGAGAAACTGAAGGGGAAACGAATTAACCAAAGCTACCTGCAGTTTGTTCCTATATGAATAATATATAATTTATCATATATGACTAGGACCATGTTCTATGCATGAAAACCAATCAATGCTTTAGTTGTATTTACCCATCAACATAATGCCTAAACTTGAGGTGGATTTTTTTGTCATTTTCTATTATTTTCTACTATTAAGATGCGAATGACTATTAGATTTCTGCAATGCATCTAAAAGATCCTACCTAAATGTCAAAGCTACTTAAATCCAGGGATCTGATTATTTTGAATTTTTGTTTTTTGAATATTTTGCACTTTACCTTTTGAATAATTAATTTAAATTAGCCAAAGAAGTTATAAAGTTTTGTTTCTAGAGATCAATATTATTGTATTACAGATACTAAATATCTGTAATACAATATCTGGACTTATAGTTGTAATTTCTTGTTTTGAGAAATATGCTGAGAAGTATCATTCATAATTTGTTAGTAACTATATATTGAGCATATATGTATTTAATAATACTAAAATATTCTGTCTGCCTTTTATCCTTGCAGTTGTATGTTTTTGGCGTTTCCAAGCAGTGCATAAAAATTAATAGCACAAACGCAGAAGATTTTCAATTTCTCATCCAGGATTTTTTCAGTAAAAAATATTTTCTAGAAGACCATGGAATACAGTTGGCTGATGGAGGATATATTATTCCTAATGATGAGGGAAAGGCCGGAAAAGAAGAATTCTTTTGGTATGATGTTCAGGAAATGTATCCATGAGTATGTAATATGTTATTAAATATGCCAGAAAGGTTTATATTTCTCAGTACCAGGGCAATGCAGAAGCTGTTTGTTTAAAATTAAAAAGTTGGTTTTTATTTCTCTCTCTAAAAAACTATAAGATTAACACACTGTTTACATTTAATCCAGAATCAAAAAGCCATTTAACATTTCTACAGAAAGTCCTGGTTGAAAGCAAAGATATTTTTCAGTCATGTGAAAGAGAAACCTCATATACTTAAAAGAGAATATTTCAAAATATGCTCATACCTGCATGAAAAACCTGTTTAGAAATGACTGTAGCATTTCTAGATGGCATTTTGTGGTTCTCATGGCACACATGATACTTCTGAGTATTTCAGGGATTGACCAGATCACTAATGGTGAAAGTAATCAGCTAAGAATTTGTTTAGGGTCTTATAGGTCATAAGGAAAATCTTGACCCCACTTGGTCTCTGAATGGCAGCTACAAGTTGAAATGTTTATTCAGTAAAGTTACTGAGCAACCGTAGTATCAGTATTTTGGCTCAGTATAAGGTAGGGTTTTGCTTGCTTACTTATTATTAGATTTATATTCTGCCTTTGTTTTATACAGCTCAAGCCCGGATGCACAATGTTCTCCCCTATTTTCCCCATAACAACCACCCTGTGAGGTGTGTTGGGCTTTGCTAAAAGGAAGTGGCTGGTCCAAAATCACTCAGCTAGCTGTCATGTCTAAGAGAAGACTAGAACTCATTATTTTGTTTCGGGGGGGGGGGGAGCAAATATCCTTAATATCCAAATAAATGACTAGATCATTAATATTACTAATATCAGTTACAAGTATTGCTGCATGCCTTTCCTTCTTACTAAAATATTTTACAAAACTTATTTTTTCATTGAAATATATGATCTCTAGGTTCATGTAAAGGAAAATAATAAGCACACTTCTTTGATCATGCATTATCACATGCAGAACCCTTTTCCACCTAGCATATATGCATGTGTGTGCGTGCGCGTGCATGCGTGTGTTCAAATCCATTAATCTTTTTGAAATATATTTCCAGCACAGGTTCTGTGATTCACAGAATTTGCAAATTACATCCAAACCTGACATCTACTTTCTTCCATGTCCGTCACTCTACTTTGAGTTCTATCAAGTACCTCTCTTTTACATTCATAGTCTTCTACATCCTAACTGCAGTATTTTCTCTTAATCTTATCACATCCAATTCTTTTTTAAATTATTTTTCATTGTGTTTTGACTAAAATATAGAATTTTATAAGATAAATATGTGTAGTTGCCTGTAGTGATTTAGAGTTTAAATGTGAAAAGTATTAAAGCAAGAGGTAACACGAAGAAACTCCACAGGACATTTCTTAGCTTCTATGCTATGGAGTCTAGGCTGTGTTTTTATTTATCATTCTTTTCAAAACATGCATTTAAAAAGTTGAATTGTGATGTTATTATTGTCTTTTCCATGTTGAAACTCAGGCTTTATCCTCCAATAGTTTGATAAATTTTCTAATTTTTTGTGCAGGGCTTTGTGTGACACGCCTGGTGTAGATCCCAATCTAATTTCCAAAGCCTGGGTTTATAACCATTATAAGTGGATTGTATGGAAACTGGCAGCTATGGAGGTTGCATTTCCACTGCATTTTGCCAGTAAATGTTTGACACCAGAAGGAGTATTACTTCAGCTAAAGTTCAGGTAAATATTAAAATTAAGATTTGGGAAAATGACCTGAATTTTACTTTGTGTCTGTATAGCCTTAATTACCGCTCTGCTTTCAAATGAGACTGTTGTTTACTCCTTAAATTAAGTGGTATTACTTAGCAAGATAATTACTTCTCAAAAACATCCAAATTCAATTTGAAATATGTGTTCAATTTTTTAAAGGTATGATATAGAAGTGGATAAAAGTCAACGATCAGCCATCAAAAGAATAACAGAAAGAGATGATGTTGCTGGAAAAACAATCATACTGTGCATCTCTAAAATTATATCACTTAGCACAAATATGCCTCACAGTGCCGACAGCAAAAGCACCACTGAGGACAATAAAAAAGACGTGGCAATCATTGAAGTTACAGATGGTTGGTATGGAATTAGGGCAGTCTTGGATCCTCCTCTTCAGTCACTATTATCTAGGCAGAAGCTTTCAGTTGGCCAGAAAATTGTTGTACATGGAGCAGAACTTGTGGGATCTCAGGATGCAAGCACTCCTTTAGAAGCACCAGAAACTCTGATGTTAAAGGTACATTTATAACCTGTGGTATGATTGTATTTCAAAATGACTTTTATATATTGTTGTAGAATGGACAATGATAAACATTTCTGCATAGTTGTCTCTTCTTTTTTTATTTTCCTTTCAGAGTTGTAGGTCTCTAGGTCAGGTAGCTCCCCCCACCCCTTTAAAGTGAAACATTATGTAAGTGTCTATAATTTGAGTCGCTTACAAATCCTTTTATTTACTTACCTATTTATAGGGCATTGAACTCAAACATATGAACTGTGCAGAATGAAAACAATCAAGGGGGGGGACTATATAGTGTTAAAAAACAATCCAATTATAAAATGTCAACCAAACATGATAAATCACTAACCATAGATAACTCATTTGACTAGACCCAAATGCTTAGGGGAGAAACAAATATTACAGTAAAAAAGCAATAGCAATTAGACTTATATACTTCATAGTGCTTTAACAGCCCTCCATAAATGGTTTGCAGAGTCAACATATTGTCCCCAACAATCTGGGTCCTCATTTTACTGATCATGGAAGGGTAGGGTGATATATTGAAGACTCCTGACACATCAAGGAGAGTCAGGATGAATCACTACCGCATCCTAAATTTGACTAGATCATTGACCAGCACAACAAAAACCATCTCTGTACTTAACCCATTTCTAAAGCCCCAAAGAGTCCAGATAATCTACTTCTTCCAGAGTTCTCTGAAACTGGAAGCTGAACACCACCTGAGCAACCTTCTCTGAAGGTTGGAGACTGATGAAAGCTGTCCAGATTGATTGGGCCCAAGGATGGTCTCTCGAATAGCAGATGTTTCTCCATTTTTCAGAACTTGTGGAATCATCTCACTCTTCAAGAGATATTTTTTATCATGACTTGGTATCCACCTACATGCACCCTCCCTGAAAGTATTAACAAATCAAGAGGCCTTGATTTAAGAAAGAAAATCCAGAGGGAAAAACTAAACGCTCTCTGAAACCAAATAGAGTTCTATAGATACCTGGACCAGGCTGATCCAATAAGGCTACTTCCTTGCAAAGGTGGTTCCAGGGTCATTTGGTAAGGATCTGTCTATTACAAGGGACAGATGACAACATCCCGTGTCCAGATCACATGCCCACCTCCCTGAAACCAAACATAGTATCTTCAGAGTCACTGGTCAGAAGGGCAGCTATAGAAATCAAGTAAATAAATAAAATGTACACAATTTGAAAATGATTAGTATAGACTACTTTTATTGCACTTACAATTGACAGATCTAATTTATTCCCTTTCTCAAAAATTAACATTTGCTCTATAACGAGATGTGCTATATGTTTAAAACTCTACATGGCTATCAGGCTACATTGCAGCAATGTGTTCTGAAAGAAGTACTTGTTTTATTTTAGATTACAGCTAACAGTACTCGACGTGCTCGATGGTATGCAAAATTAGGATATTATCGTGATCCTCGGCCATTCTCTTTGCCTTTATGCTCATTGTTTAGTGATGGTGGGACTGTTGGTTGCATTGATGTCATTGTTCAAAGGATTTATCCTCTACAGGTAATTTAGTATATTAATTAGCCCTCAATGTATACATAATTACTGGTATTTGAGAAGCAAATCTAAAGTCATATGTTTTCAACAAATATTTATTTTAGTGGATGGAAAAACTATCAACAGGGTCCTGTGTGTTTCGTAACAATCGAGCAGAACAAAGAGAAGCTGAAAAATTTGCTGAAAATCGACAGAAAACTTTAGAAGCACTGTTGGCAAAAATACAAGCAAAATTTGAAGAGACTGATGGTAAAATATAGACCTATATTTTTAAATTTTTAGAATATTTTCCATGTAATAAAAGAAAAATGTCTGTTTATAGAGAAATATGAAAGTTGCTATCTGTTCTGTTCAACCTTTGTGTATCAGAACTGTTTAGAAAACTATTGATATCTCTTCTCAATTATATTTGATTCCAGCCCCTATAAACAGGACTGAATTACTGTGAAATGTTTAGGCTTTGAAAAATTTACATTTCTTAAGTATAGAAATATATCTCACATACAGTATATGTCAGTGGTGGGTTGCCAATTTTTTTACTACTGATTCGTTTGTGTTTGTGGGTGCACTTGTGTGCGTGTGCAGAAGCGTCTGGATGGGTGGGCAGAGCTTCCTGCCGCCGCTATTACCGTTCGCCCAAACCGGGAGCAATCCACTTCTGGCATATGCCTGAACATTATAAAGTAATATTACTGATTCAATAATGTTTAAATGATATCAGATTTTAAGAAACTAATTCTTCCAGTTACCGTATTTTTCGGAGTATAAGAAGCACTTTTTTTCCTCAAAAAAGAGGCTGAAAATCTGGGTGCGTCTTATACATCGAATACAGCATTTTTTGCCTCCTGAAGCCCGCCCCCTTCACCAAAATGGCTGTGTATAGCCTTATGGAGGCTTTCAGAGAGCTCCTGGGG